GAGCTGAAAGACTTGTGGAGCCAAGGAGTTACTACTTATGATGCCTTCACTGATACAAATTTCAACTTGCGTGCAGCTTTATTGTGGACTATAAATGATTTTCCAGCCTATGGAATTGTATCGGGATGGAGCACAAAAGGGTATTTGGCATGTCCGGTATGTAATGAGAACACTTGTAGTCTTTGGTTGCAAAATGGGAAAAAATTATGCTACATGAATCATCGCCGATTTCTACCACATGACCATAAATGGCGTGATTTAAAAGCCGCTTTTGACGGTAAGAAAGAGAAGAGGAATAAACCATTTCCGTTGACAGGAGATGATGTTGTGGAACAGTTAGCCCACCTAAGTCCACTTACCTTTGGAAAGACCCAACCAAAGAAAAGAAAGATTGGTGGTGACTTAAACTGGAAGAAGCATAGCATATTCTTTACGTTGCCATATTGGAGAACTCTAAAGCTGAGGCATAATTTAGATGTCATGCACATAGAGAAAAATATTTGTGACAACATTCTTGACACGTTGCTGGAAATCGATGGGAGAAGTAAGGATAATATCAAAGCAAGGTTTGATTTGCAGGCATTGGGTATACGGCATCATTTACATCCAAAATTACTTGGAAATTCTTATTTGGTGCCTCCAGCATGTTTTACCTTATCTTTGGCTGAGAAAAGAAAGTTATGTGCATTCTTAGCTTCAGTAAAATATCCAGATGCATATGCTGCAAGTCTCAAAAGACGTGTTAATGTTATGGGATGCCGATTGGCTGGGTTGAAAACTCATGATTGTCACACTATATTGCAAAAATTGTTACCTGTTGCAGTGCGTGGGATCCTGGACAACAACGTATGCGAAGCATTGACTGAAATTAGCAGTTTCTTTGAACGATTATGCTCAAAAGCATTGAGAAAAGAAGAGTTGGAGTATCTTGAAGATCGAATGGCTTTGACTTTGTGCAAGTTGGAAAGAATTTTTCCTCCTGCATTTTTTGACATCATGGTACATCTACCAATTCATCTTCCACGAGAAGTGATTTTAGGAGGACCAGTGCAATACAGATGGATGTATCCTATTGAACGGTGATATTATTTTCTAGATTTTTTTAGAATTTTTTTAACATTTGGATTGTTTCTTACTTTTCTTTTTTTTTTTTTCTTTGTAGGTTTTTGTACATATTAAAGCAATATGTTAACAATAAGGCTTTTCCAGAAGGATCAATGGCTGAGGGATATATTGCACAAGAGTGTTTAACATTCTGTTCAATGTACATGAAGGATATAGAAACACAATTTGATAAAGTGGAACGTAATTTAGAAAAGCATGGAGAGATGCCACCAGAAACATTGTCCGTGTTTGCTGGAAACTCACGTTTACTTGGGAAGGGTAACTATGCAGTTTTGGATGAAAAATCATTGAGGCAGGCACATGCATATGTTTTGAAGAATTGCGATGAAGTGTTGGAATATGCAAGGTACTTTTATTTTTAACATGTGCCCATGTATGTTTCATCACTCTGTTTTAGTTGTAATTATGTGATACATTTAATTGTATTTTTAATGTAGAGAACACAAACGAGAACTTGCATGTAATGGTTGCGTTAATGTGGAAAAGGTGCATGACGATTCTTTTTCGACATGGTTTGAACGAGTAAGTTTTTTTTTTTTTTTTTTTTTTTTAAGTTCCCATTAATTTATTTTTTGTAGTGCTATATCATTTTAAAATAAATTTCATCAACAGGTTATATGTGCACCCATCGTGGAAAACCCAACAGTTAATGAAAATCTCTTGCACTTAGCATATGGTCCTGATAAACGAGTAACTCGTTACGAGGCTTGCATTGTGAGTGGTTTGCGATTTCACACAAAACAACGTGAGGTGAGCAAAAGAACTCAAAATTCTGGGGTAATGGTAAAAGGTGAAGAGGCTTCAGGGCTTCGAGATTACTATGGTGTGTTGACAGACATAATTAAATTAGATTACTTGGGAAATCATGAAGTCGTGTTATTTAAGTGTGATTGGTTTGAAGGAAAGTCGATCCAGAAGGATAAGTATAACTGTGTAAGTGTGAATTTGTCAAGGCCATGGAAAACAAATGAACCATACGTGCTAGCATCTCAAGTGCAACAAGTGTTTTATGTTAATGATAACAAACTGGGAAAAGATTGGAAAGTTGTCGTAGAGACACAAGCTCGAAGCTCATGGTCTGTACTTGAGAACAACGATAATGAATGCACAGTGGTTCATGAGTTATCCCAGCAAAATGATGATCTTATTGAGTGGCAAAGAAATGATATTCCTGGCACTAGTATCGCGGCAAACCTTGTGAAACCAGCAGAAAATCGCGTCGACTCATTTATTGTTGATGAAGATGATGTCGATGAAGAAGATTGTACAATGTTTGAATATGAAGAAGAAGAAGACGAAGAAGGTGAAGGTGAAGAAGAAGATGATGAAGGAGATGAATACGAGGATGAAGATGGAACTAATTAGATGATTTTGAATTTGTATTTTTTCGAAAGTATATTTCTGGTGAGTTATTTTATATAGTCTATTTACGCTTATTCATGTCTATGATTTATTTTTGAATTTAACTTGTTTATGTGCACCACAATTTAGAATCCATATTATTGATTAATTTGTTTTTTATCAATAGGTACAGTGCATGGAGGTTTTTCAAATGACCATGAATGCTCTGTTGGGTCGACTTTTCGAGAAGGGTATTTTTTTTTTTTTGTCCATTCAACTGCTTATGCCTACATTTTATAATAGTTCATATATTATTTGGGATGTTTAAAACACAGTGCTCTGTGCAATGTAAGTTGTATAGTTCTTGCTTAAATAGGAATGCATAAATATTTCTCTGTTTAGCTGCACACTTTGACAAGCTTGTCACCAAGGTCCCATGGCTTCTTCACATGGAGAAACTAATCATGTATGTTATTTTATTTAATAAATACATTTAACAAAACAGAGTACGGATTTTTCAGCTATCTGCGTTATTAATTTCTGCAAAATAATAAAGCAAAAGGCTTTCGTTGTATTTTTCTTCTACTAATCAGCTGAAAAACGCAATCAGTTACTGGGTTTTTCATTTTTGGTACGAATATGTAGTGGGTTTCTTTCGTAATTCAGTTTTGGGACATCGACGATGGTCGGCATCGGGAGGGAGATGAGATCGGAGACGACGCCGGCGTCGGCGAAGCCGGATCTGGCGCCGAAGGCATGTCCTAACGAAAATCGAAGCCGTTAGAGAAGATTCAGTCCTCGGATCGAGTGATGAGGGCGGATCCTTTGGCGTCCTGGGATCTGGCCTCAGCGAGGGACGCGTGGATGGAGCGCTGAGCTGCGGGTTGAGGCGGTGCTCCTGATCGGCTTTGGCGGTTCCGGTGAGCGGCAGGATGAAGAGGTGGCTGCACTTCTCAAAGGTACACATGTTGGTGGGATTGAAATTGAGAGAGGGTTTTCTGGTTAAGGGTGTTTTGTTAGGACAATCTTCATAACACTTATAGTTTTGTTGATGTTTCAAATTCATTTCTATATTAATCTGTTGAGTGTTTTGTGAGTTTAATATGTATACATTAATACCAATTTATGCATATATTTAAACATAAATATTTCATATTATTAAAAATTTTGTTATGTTTACTTTTTCTGCTCAAAATAGAGCTATATGAGATTAATATTATATTAGATTAGATAGTTTTAGAGAAGGAAGTTATAAATTTAATTAATTCATTATGCTCCTGAACTTCCAGCAATCCCCACGTCTCATCATCTGTTCCCTCCTTTTTTTTTTAATAAACTCCCTCCAAAATGAAATTTACCTCCATCCACTTCATTCACTCATAAATGTTCAGAATCGAATTCATAAGAAAGAAATAAACTGAAACTACCAATTTTCATCTGGGATTCACCATGTCCTCTGTTTCTACTACTCCCCTACTTCACCCTCCTCCTTGCAATCCCATGACTACACGCAGGCGGAATTCTATCTCTTCAAGTATGAAATTTATTTAACTCCAAATTCAGAGTATATCATCATGTATATTTTGAATGTTCCATGATATGTTGGATTAGTTATGATGCCTCTTTCGTTTTGTTTTGTTGTTTCTATTCCCCTTCAATGGAAAAATAAATAAAAAAACAAAATTTGATAATATAAAACCAAAGTAGTGCTAATTTGTATGGAATTCCTATAATCTATTTCTTAATTGCTTATTTTTTTTAGCATTTAAAGCTTTTATTTTGTTTGCCTAAATGAGTTTTTAAATGAAAGTCTACAAACAATTAAATTACCAAATATTGAACAATGTATATAATTGTTCTTTCTTCTCATAATTGATAGTCTCTGTATATTAGGGAAAGAAGTGGCCAACGCAGACCAACTCATACCTGAAACTGAAACTACCACTGGAGATGCACAAGTTTGTCCTCAAGATCAAGTTGTTGCTGAGCAACCAGAGAACATAATTGGTAACCTTATTAGTCCTTTCCTATATATTGATTTGTTTTTTTCATACATAAATATTTAAAGAATGTCCATGCAATTTATGTTACTTTAAAAAAAAAAAGTTCTACCAAGTCTACATCTTATAAACGTTAAATTTTTCTACAGAAGCTTCTAAAGTGAAACGTCGAGGTACTACAACGGGTGCTTCTGTTGAAAAGGAAAGGCGTAAGACTACTAGTGGAAAGTTGGACATAATCATCCATCCAATTCGGAACCGAATAGTAGGTGACAATGCCAGACACTTCAAGACTGAGGCCACTACAGTTATTAAGCAGCATGCACCACGTCACTTTGGCCGTTGGAAAGAAATCCCAGTGGATATTAAAATGAAGATGTGGCTAGCAATGAAGGTATCAATGACATGTTATACATCGTCTAATTGTTTATGGATCTGGACCACTTATACTTCTAATAGCATGACAACGACTCTAAAATAGGGGAATCTTGAGAACCAGTACTTTTGGAACTTTGTGTTGTATGCTATAACACTTCAAAATTAGATTAATTCTGAGAACACTATGCCATATGAACCTTAGCTTGGTATTTGGATTTGGATGGATAATGTGTTGGAAGCTATGATACTCATTGTAGCATAGTAGTACAAAAGTTGGCAATTACTTGAATAAGAATATTCTTTTCCTCTTTTAGAGACGATGCTTCTAGTTTTCCCCACTGATACTTACCTGCATCTATATTCTGTTAACTTGTTCTAATTTGCAGCAAAAGTTCAATCTTGGTGATGATATGCAAGTTAAGAAAGTGGTCTTTGAACAAATGAATCGTCAGTATAGAAGTTATCGGCACAAATTGCATATATATTACACCAAGAACAAGGATCATGAGAATATTTTGGGAAAACCACCAAGTTCAGTACGTCCAAGTGATTGGCCGATTTTGGTGAAATTTTTTGAGGGTAATGATGCATTCAAGGTACGGAAGTTAGATAAGTTTTACGAATCTCGCATATTTATAAGTTAAGTGTTGACCATATGAATATATTTATACACCAAACTTGTGCCTAATTCATGTTGTAGATTATTTTCAGAAGAAGGGAAAAAATGTTAACAAAGAGAAAAAATTACACTCTCAAAGTTTTGTATAAATTTGTACTCAATACTCTCATGTTGTGTATTTTTGCTATCTAATGTAGCATACTAGTGCCAGAAACAAGCAAAATAGACAAAAGTTGAAGATGGCTCATACATGCGGGACAAAATCTATTGCACAATATTGCTATGAAGAGGTAATGATTTCTAATATTTCTTAAACTAACATACTCCCAAAATGTATTTATTAGATTAGTGCTTTCATGTCATTATAGTGATTGTTTAAAATATGTCTTACTGAACACTTGATAAAATGATGCTTGGTTACTATTACAGTGGATTTCAATTTAATGTCAGTCATTTCTTCATGTTATTGAAGCATTTATCATAATTCAAGACTTGTAAGATTGACAATATGGTTTTGATCTTGCATACGGAAATTTTTACTATGTAAAAGTGTAGGACGTAAGAGGCTTCCCCCGTCCCTCCACTTAGATTTAGTTCTCTAAAGGTATGTTCTAACCAGTTTGTACTCTCTAGCTTAGTCTGCTAAGCAACAGACTAGATGCCAAGTCCATCTGGAAAATATTGAAGGATTCACATAGCATGGGATCGGTATATTCAATTTCCTCCAGTAAACATTGCATTGTGTTAGTTTAAACATTGCATTATGTTAGTCTGGAGGTGGAGTACTCAATTGTTTTTGTTTTCTTTATTGAAAATTGTCAGCATACCAAGACACAACTCATTCACTGAACATGTCTCACTACACAATTTTCTTTTTTTAGTTGTATTTTTTTTGATTTCTTAATTCTAACATTTTTTTTGATAGCGTGATCCTGTAACTCACGAAGAACCTTCAAGAACATCTACTTGGAGAAAAACTAGATACAGCAACAAGAAAAAAGAGTGGGTGGACGAATCTTCACGCGAAGTTTATGTGAGTTCATCATAAATATATGAAAAGCACTTTTCTTCAATGTATATGCTGTATCACTGATTTAAATATTTTAGGAGGAGATTATTCGATTGCAAAGTGAAGTACATGAAGGCAATCATGATATCATGAGTGAAGATGAAGCGTTCATTAAAGTACTTGGACAGGAGAAACCCAACCGACTACGTGGTTGTGGAGATGGCTTGAAACCCATTTCGAAAAGAGGAAATGGAGTCAATGAGGAGCTGCGAAAAGAAAATGAAGAATTAAAGAAACAAAGTGAAAAGATGGCTTCACGGTTGCAGTCTTTGGAAACACAACTAAGCAATCAAGAAATTCAAGTGCAAACTCAAGTTGCAGCTCAAGTGCAAGATATTCTTAGGTCCCAGCTTCCTACAATGCTTCAAAATCTTGGCCACACAAGCCAACTTCCAACATCTTAATGTAAGTATATGTTTATATGAATTACTTATTTTAATGCTGGTGGTTACTATTATACATTACGTTACAACTTCAAACATTTCATGTTGATATTCTCTTATAAGAAATTAAAATGTGCTTGTACCAAGTTTGATGTCAAATTTTCAACTCCAAAATTATTTTATAATGCTACCTTCTTTAGGTTAACTTATGGATTCATGCTTTGAAAGTTTGAGTTAGTGATTGTCGTTGGCAATCTTCATAAACATATCAGACTTTGTTTGTTCGTTTGAGTAGAGGACATTATGTTGTGGTTTGATAAGTCATATATATTTTTTTTATCTAGTGATAAGTGAGAAGTCGTATAACTGATAAGTCATAAGTCAAATATTTTTATATATGCAATGGGTTAATTCTGATTCCTTACATATTTATCATTTCTTGTAAGTATTTCTTGTAAGTAACCAAACTGGTTAAATGTATCATTAATTATATGGGAGTGTGATTAAGTGACTAATGGGGCATGAAGTTATGTCATATAGTTGGAAGTGAAACTGTGATAAACATTTGTTGCTATGATGTTATTGTTATAATCACGTCTTTTTTATTATATCTTATTTTTATTTATCTTTCATTCATTGTAGGTGTCGATGTAGGTGTCAAGAACATTCTACCATAAAGACGGATCTAGACTCCTGGAGAGAGCCAGCCAAGCTTTTATTTAATTTTCAATCGTTATACTTTGTTTGTGTATATCTTGGATAATATTTTCATCTCTCAACTCTTTATCTTAGAAATTTGTTCTAGCTTGCATTGCATTTAGGGAGAGAATTGTGTACTGAATTACTCTATTTAATTTGAAGACTTGCTATGAGTTTGGGGTTAAAGATATGTTGTATATTTATCTTGCATTCGCCATTATTGATTATTGTCATATAAATCTCAATTACAATAATTATAATAATTATATTTTGTGATGACCAATAAAAGAATTTAGTGACAAACTTTGTTTTGAGACTAAAATATTTTTTTTAAGTGACAAAAAACTAATGGTAACTAAACAAGATTTTTACGTCACTATTTTATTATATTATAGTGATAATAATGTAATGTGACTAAACTTTGTGACTAGAACATAAAGTTGTAGTGACATATTTGTGCACCACTAAAGTAACAATATTATAGTGATAGTAATGTAATGTGACTAAACTTTGTGACTAGAACATAAAGTTGCAGTGACGTATTTGTGCATCACTAAAGTAACAAGCTATAATGACAAAAAATATATGTGACTATATCATCGAGTTTTTGTGACCAATATTCTTTGTGACTAAATCATGGATTACTAGTGACCAAAATTATATGTCACAAAAGGCCTATGGTTAGTGATAAAAATTATATGTCACAAAAGGCCTATGGTTAGTGATATATAACAAAAATGGTCACTATAACTTTTAGTGACACTACCTATAGTGACAACTAGTGACAAATACTTATTTTGTCACTAACTATTAATAGTGACAATAATTGTAGATATAGTGACAAAAAAATTCATCACTATAACTCTATTTTCTTGTAGTGTAGTTTATTTGCATCGATAATATAATTAGAAATTTTTATTTGATGTGTATATTATGAGATTTCTAAAACTATAACAAATCTCGATGAAGCTGTCAAGCTGACCACCAACTCTAATATAGTTCATATAAACATTTGAGACAGAACTAATAAAGCCTTATAAAACTAATCGCCTTCATCAACCTTAATTGCTGCTATAATATAGTTCTATTGTGACAAATTAAAAATTGATGCAAAACATCTCGAAAATCCAAATACATTAGTGGATAATCGCATGCATATATTTATCAATTTAATGGCCAATTAAGAGTCCAAACAAAAAATAAAATAAAATCGCGGAATTTGTTCAACCTTATTTTTTCTCGGATATTGAGTTCCATAAAGAATTCAAAAGATCTCAACTTTAATGTTTATTTCTCTTCAGAAGAAAACCACAATCGGCCAACTATAACAATTCAAGGCATAATATTTGGTTCCAATAACTGCGGCCATTTATAACAATTCAAAGAATAATATTTTATTCTTAATTCACATCACTAAACGTGTTCAAACTATTAATAGGCAATATAATCATATGCATAAACACATGCTTTCATACCACATTTAAGAAATTTAACGGGTATATTCGTGACTATTCTGCGGAATTGAATAAACCCTATGCAATTCTGTTAGTTCATACAATATGAATCTTTGCATAAATTAAATTGCATATAGAACTTACAATAATTCAGCTTATAGTCCTTCCATGTTCTTTCCTGTAATCTCCAATTGTTCAGTTTTCTCTCCCGCGTCTCTCGTCTTTTCATAAAGACCTTGATGTTGAGAACTCTATTTTCGTATGAGTCGAGAGAGATGGACATGTAGTATATATAGGAGGAGAATCCTAATCCTAATGTTACGAATATTCTCCATGTTCTAACATAACTTACTGTCCAAATCAAACATAACAAATTGCACTCTTTAATATTAGAACATTATTAATGATCCATTAAATACATATTCACCTTAATTAAGTTTGACTATTAATTTAATTAGGTCCAACTAATTATATGGTTCACAATAATAGAATAATATAAAATATTATTAACTGATCGATTTCGAATATATCTTTTTTAAAATAAATATATATACTTACTTATACAATAAAATATTATATTTTGTTAATTATGTCAAAAACAATTACCAAAGTAAGATTAAACAAACCTTTTTTTTTTTTTCATTCATAGTTTCCATTCTCTTTATTTTTTGGTACAGAGACCTTCCGGTTTCCGGATCCACAGGAGAACCGACTAATCCAGAATCGAGCCGGGTAGGACCACAAGGGCGGCAAAGTTCTCCCTCAAGAGTTTTAACACTGCTGCATTCCCAGGACTCGAACTCGAGACCACTGGTTAAGCTGGAAGAGACCCAAGTCATCTCATCCAAGCGCTCTTGGGTTCCATTCTCTTTATATCAAAGACCATTTCAATTTTCCTAATTAATAATCCTCTTCAAAACCCTCGGAGTCAACAGTCAAATTCCTGTGCATGGACATTTTCAAGTCTCATCCATTTTCATCATGCACTATATAAACAAACACACCTTTCAATTCACCAACCTAATTCACTTCATCTCCACACAACACACATTCAAAAATCAGTTTCAATCTTCTTTTTCCCAACAACAATAAGATGATGTCCAAAAAGTTAGTAGTGTCCTTAGCCATTATGGCACTACTTTTGCTAAATAGCGTAAAACCGAACCAAGCCGCTCGAATTCTAAACGAAGACGAACAAATTATACGGACGAACAAATGGGGTGCTCGACAAGACCACCTTTTGCTGCCAATCTTGCAACGTGGCCGGCCCGTGGGCCCCCCGTCGCCAAGTGGTTGCACGTGGGTCCCCGGCCAAGGGGGGAAGCCGTGCTCCGCCACCGTCGGCCAGCGGAGCTTCGCCGGAAAAAGTCAATTGGATGCCGCCCGAAACATAACGGAGCCCAAATGATTTGCTGGCATGATGAATTGAATCATATGATCATCATGAGAACATATATTATTTCTCGTGTGTATACAAATGTATATTATTTGATTAATTATTTTATTAATTTGTTCATTTTTTTTTAGTAATGATAAGGGATTAGCAAATGCATGCATGAAAGAGAATGCTAGCTAGCTTTCTAATATATTTTTTTTCTTTGACACTTGACAGAAAATTATGTATTCTCGTCCAATAATGGTGCAATAATTGTTAAAATATAATAAAAATTCGTATTTTTCTGATGCAAATCGAGTATTTTTGGGAAATCATATGCTTTAACGATGTATTCAACCCAAGAGCGCTTGGATGAGATGGTTTGGGTCTCTTCCAGCTTAACCAGTGGGCTCGTGTTCGAGCTCTGGGAATGCAGCAGTGTTAAAACTCTTGAGAGAGAGCTTTGCCGCCCTTGTGGTCCTACCCGGCTCGATTCCGGATTAGTCGGTTCCCCTGTGGATCCGGAAACCGGAAGGTCCCTGTACCAAAAAAAAAAAGATGTATTCATTATTTTTATTGGTGTTGAATTAATTAAGATGAAAAAATTAAACATTATATATATTATTGGTGATCTCGCTTCAAATCAAATACTATTATGTTATACTTATACAGCCAGTTGACAATTAATTATTTTAAGCTTTAGTTTTCAGTTCGTGCAGCGTTGACAGGAGGACGACACAATTAGAAAACACGATTATAGAGACAAATGAAAAAATATATATATATATGGCATGACAATTTAAAATAAAATAAAAAAAAATGATTAAACACGATTATAGAGACAAATGAAAAAATATATATATATATGGCATGACAATTTAAAATAAAATAAAAAATGATTAAATTTTAATTTTATTAAAATATTTACTTGTCAGTTGTCACACATCTTTTGTATATGAAAAATCAATTGTCTCACATTGTTTACACATGGATAATAGACTTAATTTATAAGTCTAATGGGCTACTCATCATTCCACCAAATGGTTTTGGGATGGAACCTCAATTGGACTTTCTCTGTGTTGGTGCGCTTCATGTGCGTTCCCACTTGGGCTTCATTACCACAATATTACAATTATGTTTCATTTGGGCTTCAACGGCTATATTTCCAACGGCATTTTATCGTAGGAATTTCCGTTGGAATTTTTTTTCCACCCCCGTTGGAAAATCCACCGTTGGAATCGTCAAAATCCAACGGAAATTCCAATGGAAAACCCATTCCAACAGAATATTTTCGTTGGAATTTCCGTTGGAATCCATTGAAAAATTCCAACGGAAATAATAGTATTGAAATATCCGTTGGAATTGTCGTTGGAATAATTCTTTTGAAATATATTTCCGTTAAAATTTCATCATTTTCTTGTAGTGTTCTTCTGCCCGTTTTTCTCCCCAATACGATATTACAACTTCATCTGTGTTGCGTTCCCACTTGGGCTTCATTAACACGATATTACAATTATGTCATGGACTTGGGCTTCCTTAACACGATATTACAATTATGTCATGGACTAGTGGATTGTTTTTGGGCTTTATCTATTTTTGTGCGCTTTATCTGCGTGGGACAACATCCGTTTTTAACCCTAATACGATATTACAGTTATGTCATGGATTAGTAGATCGTTTTTCCTCCATTTCTTACAAATTTAATAACATATAAAAGAGATAAAGGCGAAACTTAATTAGTGAAACACTAACATCAGGGGCGAAGCTGCACCTTGCCGCTGAGGTCAACTGACCCCTATAGATTTCAAAATTTTTAGGGAAAAATTGCACTATTCGTCCACTAATTATACCCTTGTTGCACTTTCGTCCTTTAATTGTTTTCGGTTTATAATTGGTACACTAACTTTTCTTTTTTGGTAATTTTAGTCCAAAATGACATTCTGGTGCTCATTTTCGTCGAAATAGCTGATGTGGCGCCCAGTCAGATCGGAATTTCCATTCTCCGGCGTGATGTGGCACAAGGTGGGTCCAACTGTTTTAACACATGGCACAAAATAAGAAAAAATTGCACTATTCGTCCACTAACTTTACATGTGTTGCACTTTCGTCCTTTAATTGTTTCCGGTTTACAAAATCAGAAGAAAAAAAATATTAAGAAAATCAAAAGAAATAAAAAAATCTTTAAATTTCATATGTGAAGACATGTGGATAAAAAAATTAACAAAAAATAAAAGAATATTAAATAATAAAAAAATTATTTTTTTTAATGATTTATTACAAAATAAAAAAAAAATATCTTTTTTTTATTTAATTAAAATACATTTTTATTTAATTAAAAACGAAATAATTAATAAAAAAGAAATGAAAAACAAAATAAATATTTACTGAGAAATAAATATTTTTTATTTAATGATTAAATATTTAATAAAAAAATAAATATTTATCATTTTTTGTTCATGAAAAAATATTTTTTATTTAGATAAAAAAATAGTTAATGATTAAATAAAAAAAAAGTATTTAATAAAAAAAATATAAAACGAAATAAATATTTCATGAGTAATAAATAATTAATACACATTTTCTATTTAATGGTTAAATATTTAATGAAAAATAAAATATTTAATAAAAAAATTATTTTTCGTCTTATATTAAATATTTCATTTTCTTATTAAATACCTAATCATTAAATAAAAAATATTTTTCACTTATTATAAATTTATTTCGTTTTTATTCAATACTTTGTTTTTATTTAATCATTAAATATTTCATTTTTTTTATTAAACTAAAATTAGATTTTAATAAATAAAAAAATTATATTATTTTCTTTTTCTTTTGATTTTTTCTTTTTCTTTTTAAAGCTTTTTCTTTTGATTTTTCTATTATTTTTTCTGATTTTGTAAACCAGAAACAATTAAAGGACGAAAGTGCAACAAATGTAAAGTTAGTGGACCAATAGTGCAATTTTTTCGATCTGACTAGGCGCCACCTCCTGCCACATCACACTGAGAATGGAAATTCCGATCTGACTAGGCGCCACATCGGCTATTCCGGCGAAAATGAGCACCAGAATGTTATTTTTGACTAAAATTACCAAAAATAAAATGTTAGTGTACCAATTGTAAACCGTAAACAATTAAAGGACGAAAGTACAACAAGGATATAGTTAGTGGACGAATAGTGCAATTTTTCCAAATTTTTAGTATAAAATACTGTTCAAACACTGTTTACTAGGTTAATGACCCCACTAAAAAATATTGCTGACCCCGGTGAATGATGAGGCTGACTCCACCCCTAACTAACATGATATTACAATTACTCACCCTAGATTAGTGGATTACATGAAGACGTCAAACACTACAAAAATGCAAGTACAAAACAGTTGTCCTTTTTCCGGTCCCGCCATTTCCAATTGCAAAGTCAACGGACAAACCTGAGGAGGTATTTTGACTTTTTTCCCTTGTGTTCTTTATTTATTTATTTTTTGGTACAGAGTACTTCCGGTTTCCGGATCTACAGGAGAACCGATTAATCCGGAATTGAGTCGGGTAGGACCACAAGGGCGGCAAATCTTTCCCTCAAGAGTTTTTAACACTGCTGCATTCCCAGGGCTCGAACACGAGACCACTGGTTAAGCTGGAAGAGACCCAAGTCATCTCATCCAAGCGCTCTTGGGTGTGTTCTTTATTGATTATTTAAAAAAAATCATTATGAGAAAATTTGAACAGAAAACTTCAATTTTCCAGTCAAACAGAGGGAAAATTAAAATTGTTTAACGTTGATTATTAAATTCCCCCTGACTATGCTTTTCACTATTTTTACTTTTATTTAAAAAAAAAAAAAAAGTTCTGTTATCGTTGATTGTAAGAGGCAATTGTGCATTTTATTCAAGTTGTTTACTGTTTACTTAGGGGCCCCTGACATAAACTCATCACTAAGAGAAATACTATAGTCCCGTTATGAAATTGTTGAAAACGTATTTTTTATGTATTTTTTATTTTATTATTTGTTTTTGCTTTTCTGATTTTTTTTATGTGTATTTATATATATTTATATTAGTTGTTTTATATATAGTATAATATAATTGTTATTTGGTTTCCTTGTTATTTGATAAAAAGTCTTCTACTTGTAATAGGATTCCTTTAGAAAAGAAAGAGATAAAAAGAAAAGTAGATTTGGCAAATCAAGTGCAGAGGAGCCTTGGACGTGAAGAAATACTGGGCAAGCATTATATTTTTGGGGCGCAGCAATTTTTCTAAGGCCAAGACTTGAGATATACAAAATAAAAGCAAGCAAGCCTGTAGGAATTATCAAGCAATTATTTTGGTTCTTGACAAGCACTAGCGTGGACTAAAAATCAGGAGCAGTTTTTGTTTTCTTCAAGGAGAAGCCAACGTGGAATTATTGTTGAAGATGACGAACAAAGAGGGGTTTTGACGACAAAGATTCTCCGGCTTTTTGTTCTTTATCACTACTCTTATATCATACTCTTGGATTCCTTTTGTTATTCTTTTTGATAGTTTGATTTGATATTGGCATCTCATTCAAACTCGTGATTTATTATTTTCGTACTTCACTAGATGTTTTTGGATTGGATGAAAAACATTGTGATTATTTTGTTCTAGTGAATTTTTGGCATGTTGCCTTAGTCTACAAGTATTTTAACTTGTAGGCTAAATTTTTTAATCTTTCGTGTTCATTTTTTTTCCGCTGCGTAATTTAATTTCCGATACTTGTGTGAAAATCTGGATATTTACGTACCTAAAATTCTAACAGAAATCATTCTGTCGAGATTTCTAACCGTCAGATCATCATGCAACCATCGAGATAATTGATCTAACGGTTACAAACCCAGACGGAATGGTTTCGTAACGGGACCGTAGCATTTTCCCATCACTAATTCATTGATTAATTTGTATTTTTGTGTACTTGATAAAATAGTGTTGCAATTATTGTATTTTCTCAACGTACACGAATATTGATATTCTTTTAATATTATTTTGCGGTTTGATATCGAATTGATCGAAGAGGTTCAA